GAGAGAGAGAGAGAGAGAGAGAGAGAGAGAGAGAGAGATGAACCTACGTCCTTCCCCCAAACATAAACCCCCATCATCATGAATGTATACAAGGAAACCTGCCGCCGTCGAAATACAGTGTTTATGCTGGGGCATTGAAAAGCCCCATCATCATGAAGATATACAAACTCTGTCACAGTCCAAGTACGGCCACGATGCTGGGGCATTGTGTCCACACTGTCCGGTGTAAAAAGGGGGTCACAAGGACGACCTTCCACAGGATGAGGAATACTAAGTTTTCCAGGACCATGACAGGTGAAGCATATTTATGCTCTCTCTCTCTCTCTCTCTTTCACTGGTACCCAAGCTCGGTTAGTGACAAAATCGGACTTACAAAGGTTGCCTGTGAAGCCCTCGTTGGACAGAGAAAATGCATTTATAAAGTTTACCTTTCCCTCCAATACCAACAGCTCCCGTAGCTCAGTTGGTTAGAGCATCGGTCTTATGCAAAATTGCGAGATAGCCGAAGGTCGTGGGTTCGAGCCCCCCCGGGAGCAACTTCACAATAACGAAGTGTTTTTGTGCTTTCCCCAAGTGGGCAATTGCCCTAAGTGTGGCGCGGCCGCCCTAACTGGCTATCATAAGGGGTGGCATCCTCACACAGCCCTTGGCGCACATGTCCACCTTCGCCCCCTGAATATAAACCGCCGCTGTGCCCAAAGCCCAAAGCTATTTCAAGGAACCTATTGATTTTCCAGAGCTTGGAGCACCGACCCAAAATGTTTTGGGCCCGCCGGGTTCAGCATGTAATAAAGACACGTGTAACTTTTGCCGCTAGAGTTTCTTTGTTCGCCATCCAAAAAATTATTTTGACTTTCGTGAAGTTTTGTCTCAAACTTTCTTATATTTTTTTTTATTTTGGTTTGTGAGGCATTTTGCGCCTTGTGGATTACTTGTTTTCCCAGGGTTGTGGAGAGTCAGGGCAGCGGTTTAGAATTGGCCAACTCTGGCCAACTCTGCCTCTGGCCAAACTCCCAGCGCCTGCACCTAAGCTGGGTAATGGTCCCAGTATTTTCTTCTTTCTTTCTCCGGGTTGTTTGTGGAGGATCCCTGGCTTCCCTTTTTGTGGCAATAAAAATGATTAAAATGAGCTGAGTGTTTGTGAACCCCACCCCCCCGCCCCCCTGATATTCTCCAAAAAGCAGAAACAGATCAGCTCTCAAGTCTACATCCTGAAAATTCTCAGAATGTTTTGTCAAAAAAAACAAAAAGTCGCCATGACGAGCTGCTAGGAGCAACCTCAATAAAAGCAAACAAATAATTTTGTGCTTGCTCTGGGTTCAATCCCTGCGAGAGCAATTTTGCAACTCTCAAGGGGGCAGTTGCCCTCAGTGTAGAACGGCCCCCTACATAAGGGGATGCAAAACCGTGGCATTTTTAATTTTTTATACTTGAAAATTGGGGGCCAGGATCCCCTCAACAAACAATCTGGAACCCATCCCAGGGGCCAAGTCCCACTTGCAGCGTGGAGTTTCCTCAATGCCCGAATCTGGACGTGTTTGTGGAATGTGCAGAAAAATTTGAGTTTCCTCAACCGCACCTATCCAGAAACACGTTCAGATTCGGGCATTGAGGAAACCCGACGCTGCAAGTTGGACTTGGCCCCAGATCTTGGTTCAAAAAAAGAAAACTCCACCAGATTTCGATCAAATACAGCAATTGTCGTGAGTGTACAACAAACGCCCTACCTGCCTACCGTAGGATCGGATGTTTTTTTTTCATTGTTTGAAGGATCAGATCCTCACACAACCTAGTAGCTGTCTATGAACCATTGTGCCTGTCCTGGAGTTTCTTCTCGTCTTGCTGTATGAACCACCAGTTCCATCTGACTGCCTCGCCCATGCGTTCAGTGGATAGGAGTGAGTTGTTGAGTCTAAAGAAGCCTTGCCCTTTTTCTACCGGAGAGTTGAAGGTGAGGAGCAAGTAGGTTGGTTTGTGGTCGAGCCCCTTAAAGGCTGCTGCTGGTAGGATACCGGCCTCCTTTATTGCTCCCTGCAGCATGTCTGAAATTAGGAAGAAATCGATTCGTGATAGTGATGTGTGGTTAGATCGGTTCCTCTTCACTAGGGAGAAGGCTTTCTTGCGTGGGGAGAGGATTCGGAATGGGTCGACCAGGTCGAACTCTGTCATGATGTTCCGTAGGTGAGTGCTTGCTCGTGTGGGGCCCAACAGCACTGCCCGAGAAATGCGATCCAGGCTGGGGTCCATCGTAGTGTTCCAGTCGCCTGCTATAATTAGCAGTAGCGGGGTCGGGAAAAGTGATTTGATGTGGTCGAAGAAAGCTAGGTGTTCGGCTTCCGTGTTGGGGGCGTATAGGTTTAGGATTCTGATCTCTTTCCCTTACCATGTGATTTGGATCCATGACCATCTCCCTTCCACTGTGTCTCCTTCGTCGTTACTTACCAGACCCTCAAACCATATTTTGGAAGTAGTTGGTATGAGGATTGTTGTGCCGCGGTTGCTTTGGTCCACTTTGTTGGCCCATAGTGAGAAAGGGCATCCCCCTAGGCTTTTCTCCACAGTCCTCTTTATTCTGGTGTGGTTAGTGAGGTTGGATAGGTGGGTTTCTTGTAGGAGAATGATGTCGGGTTTGGCCTTTCTTTTTTCTGTGAGGCTGAGTTTGATGTCTCGTAGTTTGTCGTCTTCGGTGAGACCTGTCTCAGACGGTCTCAGCAGAGTCTAGAAGCATAGCAACAGAACGCAAAACACGGGAAGGAAGAACTACAAATCTTACTCGAAATCGCAGAAACCAACCTAGCATCAAATCCCTCCAACTCCTACCACAACTTACTCCAATCTACCAAGGACGAACTAAATGAATGGAGAAGATGGGAACTCAGAGGCCTACAGCTACGTGCCCGTATGAATGACTACATCCTGAATGAATCCATGTCCAAATTATTTTTTTCCAAGATCAAGGCTAACACAAGGAACAACACAATTGAGCGGCTGAAGGACCCAGCAAACCAGGGGACGACAAAGTCAGTGGAGCAGACATGGTACGAATAGCCAGGTCCTTTTACGCCAACCTCTACGAGTCCAAACCCCCCTCTCCCCCCCCAACAACAAACATCAGAGCCCGTCAACACATGATGACCTACCTAGAGAGAACGATTACCCAAGAATAAACGAAAGACTTGGACAAACCAACCACCATAGGGGAACTTCACGAAGCCTTATCCCAAATGGGAAATGACAAAGCACCAGGAATTGATGGCCTGTCCAAAGAATTATGGATCTAGTTTTGGCCAACATTGGGCAACGACCTCTTGAACTTCATCAACGACAGCAGGGAAAAGAGAGGCCTGGGTCAATTTCTAAGCACCAGCGTAGTGTCACTAATATACAAAAAGGGAGACAAGGAGGACCTCAAAACTACAGACCAATCTCACTTCTCACAACGCCGTACAAAATCCTAGCAAAGGCATTAGGCAACAAAATTATAAAACTAACAGACAGTTGCTTTCACATCGACCACGCAGGATTCATCCCAGGTCGATACATTCTGGATAATGTGATGGCTCTAAACGAGGCGTCTAAGAAGATCACAGAAAAACAAATACAAGCAGCGATCTTATTCTTCGACTTTGAAAAGGTGTACGATCAAGTCAATTGGGACTTTCTCCACAACTGCATGGAGAAGATGGGAGTTGGCCCTACGAGGATGTCACGGGCAAGGTGCAGATAAACAAAATACTATCAGAAACCTACCCGATATCGAGATCGGTCCGGCAAGGCGACCCCCTCGCACCCCAAATATTATTGTTCATAATGGAAGCCATCGCATCGTTCCTACGCAAGGACCCATAGACCGCCTGACCAAACACAACAACAACCCCCTCCACGACTTTGCTCTCCCCACCACACATATGTTCGCAGACGATCTCACGGTCCTCATCCGCACCAACAACTCCTCTTTCCAGGCCTTGGCCCACGTCATGGAAGCCTTCAGACTCGCCTCAGAAATGAAGGTCAAATGGCTGAAAACGGAAGGGTGGTGGCTCGCAGAAGGGCCCCCCCCCGCCAACCCCAGACCTATCCACCCCAATGTCCTGGACTACGGGCGATCAAGCACTTCGCTATCTTGGCATTATGGTAAACAGGGATGGCATCTGGCAAGGGATGGGGGAGTCTCTACTCGCCAGAGCAATAACCCGTTTAGCCACCTGCAACAAAGCCCAGGCCTCCCACCTAGGGAGAGCCTTGATCATC